TGACATGTCATTTTATGGTTATTTTAAATTAAATTTTTCCATGTCATTTTATGGTTTTTTTTTTCATTTTATTAAATTCCAAATTATAATAATTGTAATAAATATAATAGAAAATGAATATCAATTTCATTAATACAACTTTCCTTTTAATTTTAAAATTCCTAAAGTAAAGCCCAATTATTTCTTTTGTGTATTTGTTTAAATTTTTTTAAAAAATGAACACTTTAATTTCAATAAGTCAATATTTTTCTCATTTCTCTTAGGAAGGAGGGAATCATGCACGATTTAGGGGGAATTTATGGGAGGTACCGGTGCTATCTATAAGGAACCATCCATTATTTAGTGGGTTAAGAGTGGTGGGTTGAGTGAGTTTCAGACACGGATTCACTAACCCGCTTCTATCATTTTCAACTTATGCAATAATCACTTGTACATTATGCATCAAAACTTATACCAAAACTATTTTATATGTTTAGGAAAATTTCATACATGTCCTTACAAAAATTAAGAATTACGTCTATATCCTTCAAAAGTTCATAATTACATATATATCCTTATTAACCTACTAAACTCACATTTATATCCAATTTTGTAATTTAATGAGTTATAAATCAATTTAATACCATAAACTATATTTATAAATCAAAAATACATATAGATTTACCAAAATACCCTTTACACATTATTAAAGAATATAACTAAATGCATTTAATTAGGATTAAACCTAATTAAATGTGGGGATATTTCCTAGTGAAACCTCTTTGATTGGCGGTAAAAAAGAAGATCGTCAACTTTACTTTAGCATCAAAAAAAGAGTTGAGAAATCAATAATATTGAATGAAAATATTGATATTAAGTATTGACGTCATGATCAGTTCTTGGGTCTGTCAAGATAAGAAGACGAGGCTTAATGAAAGATGTATGGAGTTGATTTGTGAAGGTACCAGGAGTGTGATGACCAACAATGGCATGACAACCTGTGTACTGAGCAAATTTCAGTACAACCCTTTGTCCATATGGTCTTGCATATTGGACAATAATGTTTTGGGGGTATTTGATTGCTACAATCACTTTAGCATCCTTTTGAAGTTGCTCCTATGTCTTTCCTAAGTTAATAATGTAAATTCCCGTCCAACAAGATCCTCATAACCTCACCAAAAATCAAGGATTCCTCTTCGATTTCATCGGTCAAAACTTCCACAACTCCATAATCGTATCTGTTAATTTGATGGTTAGCCACATTAAGGTTTTGTTGTTCTTCGTCTCCAGGCAAACCTAATTCCACCTTATCACATCGAGAACACTTAATCAATTTACAAGAGAATAAAGTTTCAGCCATGCTATCTCTCCTAATTCGAAACTCTTTTGAGTAATCAGAAGCAGCAATGATGATTGGCTTTTTTGATGGTTTCAAATATATCACCATTTAAGCTCTTAAAATACTCCCTCTAGTAATACGTTCGTGCCACAGATTTCAAAGATGCCATTGCACCAAACTCGAAACGAAATCCACAAAGATCTAATACTTCAATTATTTTAAAGATATTTGGCGGGTTGTACCCGATGATCAAAAACCCAATTCGATTGCACCCCACAAATCGAAAAGCTTCGATTGTGAAACAAATTCAGTATAAATTAGGGTATAAGAAAAGAACAGAAGAAATGAACAACGACTAAGAGGGAAGGTGATGGAGACCGGTGATTCTGGGATGATTGATCGATTGAGGGATTAATTTTCCCCTCAAAACCTAAACAATTTCTAGCAAAAAAAAGAATAAGATTTAAATTTGGATATAATGTGTAAATTGTATTTTGGTAAATTTATATGTATTTTTGATTTATAAATATAGTTTCAAGTATTAAATTGATTTATAACTCATTAAATTATAAAATTGGATATAAATGTGAGTTTGGTAGGTTAATTAAGATATATACGTAATTATGAAATTTTAAAGGATATAGATGTAATTGTTAATGTTTGCAAGGACATGTATGAAATTTTCCCTATATGTTTTTAGCTAGTTTGTATATTTTTAGTAACTATTTTCATTGGCTCTGGTGTTCTAAAAACTATCTCATTCTAATACTTTCATAAAGCCCAACTAGACATGAAAAATTACATCAAGACACTTCATTTGTAAGTTGGTAGTTGGGTGCAAACGGGTCGAGTCTAGCTTAAGCATGCTCAATTCATTTAATATTTTTGTGCTCGAGCTCGAGCTCAACTCGTTTTGAACTTTATTGTAACGTCCCATTTTCACAACCAAATTTTTTATTTTTAAATTAGATAAAAACATTGTTTCCATAAGACCAAGTCAAGAAAACCATAAGTATCAATATACAATCATCACACAATATCATAATAATAGGAAATCACAAAAGTTGTCGATAAGTGTGTACAGTCAAGCCTTCACCTTCCCACGATCATCTGAAGTACTCGAAACACATTTAAATCCACAACTGTAAGCACGAAGCTTACTGATTTCCCTAAAATATCACATACAACACATCATAATAAACAACTATGGGTTATCAACAACTTTGGGACTATCAGCAGTCATGAGGACTATCAGTAGTCCTATGGGCTCACAACATCCCTATGGGTTATTAGCAACCCTGAGGACTATCAACAGTCCTGGAGTTATCAACAACTCAATAAATACACATAACAGTAATCAACAAAGAAGACTCATTTAGTCTAGCATGCACCCTACTATGACATACATAATATAGTGAGAAGACTGACCTCATAAATAGAAGACTAACACAACAACTCTTTAACAATGAAGATTGGTACTATGAATCATCAAATCATCAATATATAAGTACCCTCTTAATTTACTCCGTAAAACCCTCAAGTTGACCAAAAGTCTACCTGGTCAAAAAGTCAACGGTCAAAGTCAGCCCCAGCTTACCTCCACATCGTGGCAGCTGCACGACAAAACATTTGTTGTGACACCAGCCACCACATCGTGGCAAGCAGACTGCCACATCGTGGGAACTGGTCTCTCACAGATTAATGGATTAAGCTCTTAATCCTTAACCCCATGAGTTAGTCTCTTACAGATTAATGGATTAAGCTCTTAACCCTTAACCTTATGAGCTACAAATCTCATATCTGAACCTTCCCAAGGTCTTGATGGATAAAGTTTCCAACTTTATCCATTATGACATCCCAATAAGCCAAGATCTCAAATCCTAAGCTCTTAATGGTTGCACCCATTGCATGGATACTAAACTAAGTCCTAAAAGTCCCCTTTCTAACCACCACCATGGTTTAGAAGCTGAATAAGGCACACAAAGGTTATGGAGTTCACTCAAATTCCAAGAATAAGAAGATATGGACCAAAAAGCTCATAAAATGACCTAGAACTAGATCTAGAGAACTAATGAGCAATGTGAAAACTTTATGCCACTAAAAAACCAGAATTGTGATGCAGATGCAAGATCTAAGCTGGATCCAAGCACACAAGCACCAAAATGGACTCCTTCATCCTACAACCTTCAAAAAAATGACTTCACACACTCAAAACATACATATGGAGGCTAGGGTTTGGATGAGGTATGATCTTAAAGGGTGGAGGCTGCCAAATGAGGCAACCCTAAGAATTAGTGTCTTTAAACAAAGCACAAAGCCGGAGATCTAGGGTTTTTCAACAAAATAGTCGCCCCGTCGTGGCAAAGGCCTTTCCATGTCGTGTCACTTCGCGGCTTCGCGTTCTTAATTAGACGATGCCATGTTGTGGGGCCTCGGCCACCACGTCGTGGCTCACCCTAAAATCCTCAAAACTTATATTGAAATAAATTAAACTTGGAAAAAAAACATTACCTGACAAACGGGTAAACGGGTGTTACATTTATGGCATGAAGCTCGAGATTGACTCATGAAGAACTATATGGACTTGGGCTCAGCTTGTATATAATATACCAAAATTCCTTAAAAATATATCTATTAAAATACGTATTTATTTTAATATATAAAAATAAAAATATATTTTATTATTATTATACATATGTAATTATAAAGCTTCATCTGTCAAGCTCTCACGTTAAAAATTAAATGAAATATAATTTGCGACAAGAATTTAAAAAAAATACAATGAATGTGGAGAATTTGTGTTGTGATTTTGATAATTTAAGTAGTAAGGTTGGTGGGTATGGATCATTTTCATCCCTTTGATACCTAACATCATCTCTCTTCCATGAGTCATTTGTCAAACATTTTTCCTATTTAGTCAACCATATCAGAATGTAAGATATCAAAGCAAGATTGTACAACCATGTAACGACGAGAGAAGAAGTAGGATAACAAAGAGGAGAACCCTTAGTACTGGGACACCTAAAATGATGTTCCAATCGGTACTGAGCCCAAAAACCATCCTTCCCCGAGCCATCCTTTGGGCATACTATGTACCCTCATAGTAAATTCGACAACATCTAGAATGTATGCGGTTTCATATGAGTTTATCTTTTGAAAATCTTTAGTATACTGATGATAGCTTTTAATGAGTTGTCTAGTAACACCGCTTACGATAGCTACTAGCATTTATGTAAAATTAGCACTATAGACATATATTTTGTTTATGCTTCCGTCACGTAACAACTTTAGCACGTCTTATGATTACGTCTAAATTATGCATGTTTCAGATATGACATTACCAAAATAAGCAAAATGTGATATAGATATTATATAAAATCATTGAACTTTTCACAAAACTTACAAAAGCCCCAATCCATTTAAAAAGGCAATTTAACATGGTACATGTTCTCTGTTGACATTACCTAACATAATAGTTTTTTGGAAAATGCAATGACTTTAGACTTTAATAACAAAGTTTGAAACATAATTGATCAACTAGAGATAAGTTAAAAGCATGTTGTTATTTATTAATACTTGACCAAAAGTGTCATAATGGTATAGTATAGGGGTAATATGTGTGCAACATTACTTACATCGGAGTTATTTAAATATAGAGGTTGGGGGTGGTGGGAGACTGGGAGTTGGGGGATTTGTAAAGAAAGGGGAAGACGAAGAAGCGGCAATTTCGGCCACTCTCGCTCTTGTACTTTGATTTCTCATCAACGTTTTATCTCTCTCTATTTCTTTCCCTAAATACATGCAACCCTAACAATTCGTTCGATTCCACTCTCTCTCTCTCCCTCTCCTCTCTCTCTCTCTGGGGCTATGGCGGATGATAAGAGAAAGAAGAAGAGAGGGAGAAGCAAGGGTTTCAGGTTTTGCTTTCGGTCCTCCGCCGCCGATGAAGCGTCTTCATCTGTTAATAAATCCGATGGCCTGGAAACCAAAAACGGACCGTTAGGAAAACCGGTTTTGACAGGGAAAGAGTTGCTTCCGGATGGGAAGATGGTCAACGGTGGCGTCGCCGATAACGGCGGTGATTGCGTTGTCAAACGTCCGTCTCGTCGACGACGATTCTCTCGTGTACTTAAAGCCGTTTTGTTTGATTCAATGAAGGTTAGTTCGTCAATGTTCAATCGCTTTCATAAACCGCGTTGTATTGTTTGTTTTTTATTCAATTATGTTAACCGATTCATAGAAGTCAGCGCAATCGTATTGGCTTTTCCCGCATTTCTAGAATTAATCTCAATGAGAGTAATCCACGTTTGATCATTTCTGTTGAGTCTTTGAACATTCATCTTCTGTATCTTCTGAAATGATATATAGGTTCATGCTTTGTTATATCAATCGATTTTTTAACGAATTGACCGATGTTTATCTTCATTTTTTCACCGACAGACGAAGAAGAAGAAGATTCGTAGAAGTTCTTCCAAATCTTCGATTGCTTCAGATACGAGCGAGTCGTCTTCTTCATCAAGCGAGAAAATCGGCAAATCATTTGAAGACATTAATGCATGTAGTAAGGAATGTGCAGATTTGGATGATTCTTGTAGTCATTCAAATCTATTCTCATCTTCTTCCCGAACAACTCTTTCCTCAGCCTCTACCTCCTCCTCTTCGTCCATTAATTCTAATTCCCGATGGTCTTCTGACCAAAAATCATCATCCCGTTTAGATTCAGTCGATAACAGAGATTCTGTTCCATCAAATTCATCAATCTCAAACAAATCAAATCGTATCAACTCCACTTCTCGATCATCTTTTGAGCAAAAAGTATCTTCTGCAACAGATACACCCATCATTTCCATTTCTAGACCCTCCTCATATCAAAAGGAATTATCCCGACTGGATTCGAGAACTTCGGTTTCATCTAAATCCGATAAGATCAAATCCGGAAGCAAAAATGGAAGCATCCGCTGGTGTTTATTTCTTCTCTTTAGCCTAATTGTACTCGTGATTTGGGGTAGACTCTTCTCCATTCTCTGGACATCAATCTCGTTTTACTTTGTGCCTCGCCCCCGGCTAAAACGAGTCAACTCAGTACCCACCACGACCGAGTTTCTTGATTTTGACTCGGATCAGTACAAGAAAAAAGTAATCATGGCTGGATTGCTTGATAGGACTCGTCCGATCCGGTAACACTACAGGAAAAATATCAGGTCAGTTTGTAGTCTGTACGGAATGTGTATAAAAATGTGTTATGTATAAAAACTAAAACTATTCACAGAAAAATGATAAGTTTGATTTTCATTTTGTAATGGAAGAAAATTTGGAATCCTTTTCCACAATTATTATATTCATGAAATGATGGATTGATGGATTTTGATTTTGTCTTGCAACGGTTAAATGTTGACGTATGTTGATTTTGATATGGTAATTGGATTTGATTTTTTTTTTTTAATATAAAATTGTATGTGATTTTTTGTATATAAAAAATAAGATTTGATTTTTTTTTATATAAAAGGGTCAACGAAAATTTGGTGTAGGTTGTTAAGTAGGTAGATACTTTGTAAGATTTTTTTTGTTTCCTTTTACATGTTTTTTGCTTTATACTGAGTTCTAGATATCACCTGCCCCAGTTTGTTTTTTTTTTGGGGTAAGGGTTATTTTCATAAAAGACCCTATATTTTGATTTTTTTTCTTTTTAGACCTAAAATTTTTTTCTTTTCCGAAAAAGACCTAACTTTTAGCTTTGACTTGTTATTTTAGACCCTAACAAGTAAATTAAGTATTTTTATTTCATAAAAGACTCTATATTTTATACTTTTTTCCAATCTAGACCTAAAATGTTTTTTATTTCAAAACTAATTGTATAAAAACATGATTATATCCTTTTAGTTTAAAAATAGACATCGATTTAAACAATGTAATTATTATGCCTACATTTATTTATGATTGGAAAATTCTTTTTCCACGTATATTTATAAAAAAAAGACCCTATATTTTGTTACTTTTTTCCATTTTAGACCTAAAATGTTTTTTTTTTCAAAATAAACTCAACTTTAAAATTGGTTATAATTTTCAAGACCAAATATATAAGGTACTTCTTGACTATACTGAAAAAGAAAGTATACATGTATACACAAAAAAATGTTATCTGATCTATTATCTTTTGAGCGAATATAACCTAGAAGAATTACAAAATTTTATTTTTTTCTAAAAGATATAATTAAACTTTATCTTGGATATATATATATATATATATATATATATATATATATATTATATATATATTATATCATTAAACTTGATATATTGTTTATAAAAAATGTTATTATTACCGCTAATAAAAAGTTCGATGTTAATTTGATGTTTTTTGGTAACATAGACAATACATGGCTAAGATGAATCTTTTAGCATAATAACAACTTTTTTATTTGTAGAAAAAAACAACATACCATGTAATTTAATAAACTGTATACAAATAAGATTTTGCAATTTTAAACAAAACTTGAATTTGATATATCTAAACAAAACTATTATGAATGTTTAGGATTAATATTTTTATGTATGTATTTGATATAGTTATACCATATTATTCAATAACGGGCTAATGCTACAAAATATTCTATGGCTTTGGTTTAGGAGTATGATAGTTAGTTCGTTTGTTAACTGTTCCAAAAAAATTGATTAAAAAATTCAACCAAAAAATAATATAGAAAAGTGAGAGAGGGAAATATGTCCAAACTCACGAAATAAGTATAATAGACAAACTAAAAAAAATATTTTGTATACAGTTTTGTTAAATTACCTGGTATGTTTATTTCCTACAAATAAAAAAAAATGTTATTATGCTAAAAGATTCTTCCTAGCCATGTATTATCCATGTTACAAAAAAATATCAAATTAACATCGAACTTTTTATTAGCAGTAATAATAACATTTTTTATAAATAATATATCAAGTTTAATGATATAATATATATCCAAGATATATCTTTTAGACAAAAATAAAATTTTGCAATTCTTCTAGGTTATATTCGTTCAAAAGATAATAGACCAGATAATATTTTTTAGTGTATACATGTGTACTTTTTTTTTTCGGCGTAATAAAAAAGTACCTTATATATTTGGTCTTGAAGATTATAATCAATTTTAAAGTTGAGTTTATTTTGAAAAAAAAAACATTTTAGGTCTAAAACGGAAAAAACTACAAAATATAGGGTCTTTTTTTATAAATATACATGGACAAAGAATTTTACAATCATAAATAAATGTAGGCATAATAATTATATTGTTTAAATCGATGTATATTTTTAAACTAAAAGGATATAATCACGTTTTTTATACAACTAGTCTTGAAATAAAAAACATTTTAGGTCTAAACTGGAAAAAAATACAAAATGTTGGGTCTTTTATGAAATAAAAATACTTAATTTACCTATTAGGGTCTAAAGTAACAAGTAAAAGGTAAAAGTTTGGTCTTTTTCGGAAAAGAAAAAACTTTTAGGTCTAAAAAAAAAAAAATCAAAATGTAGGGTCTTTTATGGAAATAACCCTTGGGGTAATGTAATAATAGTGAATAATGACCACTTGTTGCTTACTCAGTTACTCTTTTCTTTTTATTCATTTTTTGGACATGTAATAATTTTGTTTTCTATTGAAGTTTTTATCATCTTAAACTTAAACTGGTAAATTAGATATAGATATTAGGTTAAATGATATAAGTCAAATTGAGTAATTTTTTTATTATGTATTGCAAGTAATAAATAATTTTGTATAATTAGGAAATTTATGATTAAAATAAGAGTAAAATTGAACTTTTTAAAACTGTTAATTGTGAAATGTAACTTTTAATCGAAATTTAAAATATTATCTTTTGGCAAGAAGCAACTATATTACTAAACACGTTTTTTTTTATTGCTAAACATAATGGGAACTCCTTACATTACTTAAACATGCAAACATAAGGCATATCTATTGTAAGTGTAGAAATGGAATGAATTTAAGAGATGAAGATTAAAATGATTTTTTTACTACATGCAATCATATATTAAATCGTACACACACACACACGTAAACAAGGGCCATACTTGCTAACCTATACGTAGCAAACCAACTAACAAGTAACAAAGTTAATACTACCACTAACTAACTTAACTCTTACTTACATACAACTACAATATCCCCCCTCAAGATATATCCCCCCTCAAGATGGACTTGTAAAGAACTGTGTAGAGCCATCTTGGTCATAATTGGTAGCATCTTGAATCGATGAAGTGGCTTTGTGTTTGTGAATATGCCAACTAATTGAAAATTGGTTTATATAAGTATCAAATTTATAGCTCTATGTCTTTCAAAAAGAAAAAAAGAAAAAAAGAAAACTTTGTAGTTCTATGCAATACTTTTTCACGAACAAATGATAATCAAGATGCCAATTTTTTATGGCATACTTGTTGTCATAAAAAACCAAAGCGCCTCTTGAATTGTAATGCCAAAATAACAAAGCAAGTGTTGTGGCCATATGACTTCACTTTTGACAACAACAATAGTTCGATATTCAACCTCAATGGATGATCTTTAAACGGTTGTCTATTACTTTGATTTCCATGTGATCAAGAAATCACCCGTAATGACAAAAAATCAGATGACAAATCACCTTGTATATGGGCAACCCGCCCAATCAATCAAAGCCACTAAACATGTGAAGTTCAAAACATGATTTAACGTATAAGAAAAATCCTTGTCTTGGTTTATTTTTTTAAAAATCATAATAAGTGGTCGGCCACATGTAGACGAGGGATACTAGGTTTGATAACAAACAAAGTTAACATATAAACAAAGTTAACACATTTAACATACATGATTATGCAAATCAATCTTCTAACTCAATTGGATCATCCCAAGGTTCACTATCCAAGTTAGAAGTTGTATATTTGGGATCCATGAGATAATGACTAGGTTTTGTTAAATGTGACTTAAGCAGTGAAGACCAAAGGACACATTGGAGCACATTTGGATTAGGGCTGAAGCATTTAGCTAATGCGCTCCTAGCATGCTAAATGTACTCCACTCTATGGAGAAAGTCAAATGCGCTCTAACTCTTGAGGATGCGTTGAGCACATGAAGAATGTGCTGCCATGTGAGAATGCGTTGAGCATATAGTTTCAAAACATTCTTTATGCTAAAATATGAACCGAGCGAAAATGGTGTGTTATTTCGAGTCCGTATGCAAAAGTTATGAATTAAACAATTTTTGGTGCCAATGTATAACATAAGTGCGGGGGAGGTCATTACGCGTAGCGTTCTCTACTCTCTACTATTCATATATCACAGTTCTCATCTCCTACATTAAAAGATCCCTACGGTGTAAGGTTTTATTCAAAATATGTGGTTTCTTTTGTTGATTATTGTTTATAAATTGGATATGCATCTTGGGGTTATAAAATATAAATCATAATTTTCCGTTGCGTTATTAATATCTTAACTGTTTTAGAACAATCAAACTCCTACAGTTTATGAGAGCCACTGTTAGATATAATAATCACATTGTTTGCTCTTTTTTGGTTAGATAGGAGCATCCTCCAATATTTATGTACTACTTTATATTTGTATTTTCTCACTATTTTGTGTCTTGTAAGCATGTTTTATAACATCATGGCGTTCAAAAAAAAAAAGTACGGGACCTAAGTCAAATTTACTTCCCTATAATTTTTCATGAACTCTCCTTAGGCAATATACAATATCTTTACGTGTATATGTATGGAAACCGGTTCCTTGTTGTGACCTACTAATCGTTATACTTATCGCTAAAGTAACATAATTTGTTTCCGGGCAGAGAATATCACATGTTAAAAAGAGAAGGAAAAAATATAGTAATATAACACTCTATGTCCTACTATGTCAAAAAAAGTCATATGACTTTATCGTTAATAAGTCCAAAATACTTGTTTAATTTACTGAAAATTATTGATTAATTGTTATACTTATCGCTAAAGTAACATAATTTGTACTGCTTGTTCATATGCTACATGTGTAGGGATTCTAAGATTATTAATATACCATGGTGAATGCTTTTCATGACTCATTACTTGTAAAAAACATATTGTTGTTAAATCGGATAATCTTAGAAGGGTAGTGCTTGTACATATGTTATAACTATTATAATCATTTGAGGAAATTACATTTACCAAAGTCTCAAATGCTTATGTTATTTGAAAGTGTAGGAATGCTCAAGGAAAAAAAAGTATGCGAAGAAACCCAAACAATGATCATGATGCATCTATCATTTCACATTAGTCAGATCTTAACCATGATGTGCTTTTTTTAGTTATGAT